CTTGAATACTTAACTGATTGTAGACGAATGGCGGAGTCAAAAACCCTAAAATTTAAGAATTTTCTAATCGTATTGCGAATAATAGTTTTATTACAGTTTAGGAAAAAAAATTCATTCAAAAATAAAAAGATTAAACTGATTGTTAGTGGCCCTTTTGCATGAACTTTCAGTAATCCTTACATCTGTAAATAGACGACTTTTTTTTTTATTTGTTGGCTTTTGATATACATCAGAAGGCCAGATGCTATTCTTACAATTCATTACTGCAAATTCTTATTGAATCATTAACTAACTTAATCAATATCTAAACTAGTGGTGTATGGCATCGTGCCTTAAGGCAAATTGCTGGAACTTCCCGTACCGTAACGAAATGTTCGAGGAATTTTAAAAGTTTTCAAATAGATTGTTATAAATATTGTAACAATGTCTAATATTTATAAGAATTATATAAACTGAATTGCAAAGTTAAAACTATTTATTTAAAGTATATAAATTTTAAACTTTTTAGTCAGTATTAAAATTAAAATCTGAATTATTTTCGATATAAAAAAAAATTTAAACAAAAATTGGAACAACATTTTTTTTCAAAAGCAATATTTTGTCACAACAAGCAGAAAGTTCTTTGAATCATTCAAATCGGTAGCTCAGTTCTCTTAAAAACTGCCATTTTTTGCACATTTAGCTCATTTTCGATATACAAAAAACTAAAAAAAAAAAAAATGGAATTTTTTTTTTCAAAATCAATTATTTTGTTAAGACAGCAGAAAGTTCTTTGAATCATTCGAATCGGTAGCTCAGATCTCTTAAAACTGCCATTTTTTTGCACATTTAGCTCAGTATCCTCGAAATTGCTGAACCTGCCTTTGCCAAAAACTAATCCCCTCATCTCACAATCATTACAATCTCAATGTTTTTAGATCATTCAATCGGATACTCCGTTCTCTCAAAACTCGATTTGTATTTTCTGCACTCTTTTCTCCGTATCTCTGTAACTGCTGGACCTGTCTTTGCCAAAAACTAATCAGCACATCTCCCTATCAATAAGAATCGAATGTTTTTTGAACCATTCAAATCGGTTGATCCGTGCGCCCAAAACGTGGACGAATAAATGCGGACATACAAACACACACAGCCATTTTTTCTGAAGTATGCCAAAGTGTTCAAAAAAAAACCTTCAAAACGTCGAGAAATGCAACAAATTTCATTTTAGATTTTCGGCCCATTACTATAACTACTCTACGGGAAGTTAATAATGACTGATTTAGAGAAGTATACCTAATCGCTGTAAATCATTTTGAAGTGAGGAACTATTGCAAATTATTATTTTTTCAAATATAGTAGTTATTTTTGAAAAATGGTATGAATATTACACATTTAGAAAACGAACACATACGAAATACGAAGCCGAATACATACACACGGAGAATTTATTAAAAGCGCTTAAGCGCCTAAACTATACTTATCGCAGGCCTCAATATAGTTTAGTACGTTCATTTAGAGCAGAAACTCTATCGTCATGCAAAGTTTCACTAAAATCGCAAAAAAATGACAATCTATTATGAAAAAGAAACGACTTGACCGATCTTCGCCAGAAATCATTTATTTCCAAATGATATCAATCGAATAGTTTAAGCAAAAACGGTTAAGAATTTTTGACAAAAACATGAACGATATTTTTTGCACTTTTCTGCCAATAGTAAAAAACGGATCGACCAATTGTCTCAAAAAACTAATTAACGCAAGCGCTTATCCAGTTACATTTTATAGTTTTTAAATTTTAACATCGGTTCAGACAAGAAAACGTCGAGGAAAGGTCAAATTTTGACTCACATCAAAGACCCAGATTATTTAAAAAAAAAACACATATATAAGGTAAGGCGGGTCCAATTTAACTTTGAGCAATTATATATTGTGAAAACTAAACGAAAAACATAACAACCAATAATCAAACAAAACCATCTGACTATGTTTTAGTACTTCCAGCTAAAATTCATTTGATGTATCTCGACAAGGACTAGCGTTTTGTGCTACGATCGGCTGAGCCGTTTCTTTGTATATCGCAGAAAAGTGAAAATTTTTTCGTCCACGTTTTAGCTCGCAATCGATTTTGAAAATTCAAAAACCGTTGGTAAGATATATTAGTTGGGAATCGACCTGATTAGTTTTTGGCAAAGATTCGTCAGAGTTTAAAAGAAAAAATCGCGTTTTTTGGCGATTGTCAAAATTAGACCTTTAATCAACATTTTCTCTAAAATGCATGTATCTCGATAAGCAGTTTTTTTGTAATTTGCATAAAATTGTAATACTTCTCTTCTCGTCCACGTTTTAGCTCACAATCCTGAATTGTCCTACTTAGTTTTGGACAGAGATCGGCCGAGCCGGTTCTTTGTAAATAACTGTTAAAAAATTTTTTTTGATGAAACTTTTTATGTTGATAGATATCACGATTCTGAACAGCATACTAAAATTTTACGCACCCACTGCAAGTTAGTTTAACTTTAAAAATTCATCAAAGTTTGAAAAAATATTATATTAAAAATTTGTGTCAAAAGTTGCTTTTGTGATGCGATGAGTCAAACATCGTCAATTCATAAAATGTGGAATAATGAGCTGGAATTTTAGGACATACAAAGCAC